GGGACACCAGGTGATGGGGACACCAAATGATGGGGATCCCAGGTGATGGGGACACCAGGTGATGGGGACACCAAGTGATGGGGACACCAGGTGATGGGGACACCAAATGATGGGGATCCCAGGTGATGGGGACACCAGGGGCACAACAGGGACCTTGGGATGTGGGAGACCTGGGGGGGGATATAGTCAGATAATGGGGACACCAGGTGAGGGAGATCCCAGATGATGGGGACCCCAGGTGATGGGGACACCAGGTGATGATTGGCACACCAGGTGATGGGGACACCAGGTGATGGGGACACCAGGTGATGGGGACACCAGGTGATGGGGACACCAGGGGCACAACAGGGACCTTGGGATGTGGGAGACCTGGGGGGGGATATAGTCAGATAATGGGGACACCAGGTGAGGGAGATCCCAGATGATGGGGACCCCAGGTGATGGGGACACCAGGTGATGATTGGCACAACAAGTGATGGGGACACCAGGTGATGGGGACACCAAATGATGGGGATCCCAGGTGATGGGGACACCAGGGGCACAACAGGGACATTGGGATGTGGGAGACCTGGGGGGGGATATAGTCAGATAATGGGGACACCAGGTGAGGGAGATCCCAGATGATGGGGACCCCAGGTGATGGGGACACCAGGTGATGATTGGCACAACAAGTGATGGGGACACCAGGTGATGGGGACACCAAATGATGGGGATCCCAGGTGATGGGGACACCAGGTGATGGGGAACCCAGGAGATGGGGACACCAGGTGATGATGGGGACATCAGGGGCAGAACAGGGACCTTGGGGTGGTGGAGACCTGGGGGACATGTGACCAGGTGATGGGGACACCCTGTGATGGAGATCTCAGGTGAAGGGGATCCCAGGTGATGGGGACCCCAAGGGGACAACAGGGACCTCGAGGTCACAGGGATCTAAAAGATGATGGGGACCTTGGGGTATAAGGGGATGGCAGGGGGACAATGGGGATCCCTGGGGTGATGGGGATCTCAGGGCAAGGAGGGCTGCTGGGGGAGTGGACCCAGGGGTGATGGGGACACCAGTGGTGACGGGGACACCCTGGGAGAGGGTGGGGGACACTGGGAGGGGACAGTGGGGGACACTGTCCCAGCCCCCTCACGTCCCCCCACGCAGGGCAAGGTGCAGATGTGGGTGGACATCTTCCCAGCCAGCCTGGGACCCCCGGGTCCCCCCGTGGACATCACCCCCCGCAAGCCCCAGAGGTGAGCACCCAGGTGGGCCCGGGAAGGTGGGACAGTGACATTCCCGGGGTGGGGGGGGGTGAGCAGGTGACATCCTTGCCCCCTGCCCAGGTACGAGCTGCGCTGCGTGGTCTGGAACACGCGGGACGTGGACCTGGCGGACGTCAGCGTGTTTGGGCAGAGGATGAGTGACATCTATGTCATGGGGTGAGCCACCAGCGGGGGGCCCAGGGAGGTGGCCGTGGGGCTGGGGACACTGGGGCTGGCAGTGTCCCCTCCCTGGGGACAGGTGGCTGGATGGGCTGGAGGAGCAGAGGCAGAAGACCGACGTTCATTACCGCTCGCTGGACGGGGCCGGGGCCTTCAACTGGAGGTTCCTCTTCTCCTTCGAGTACCTGGTGGGTGAGCAGCTCTGTGTCCTGCCCCGCAAGGTGAGGGACACCCCGGGCTGGGTGGGGAGGGAGGGGACACAAGGGACAACCTGACAGCAGCTTCTCCCCCCTCCCTGAACCCGGCAGGAGCATTTCTGGAGCCTGGATGAGACGGTGCAGAAGGTGCCCCCCAAGCTCATCCTCCAAGTGTGGGACAACGACAAGTTTTCAGCAGATGATTTTCTGGGTGAGAGCCTGGAACCCTGCCCCGTGGGCAGGGACACCCACAAATCATCATGGAATGGGTTGGGTGGGAAAGGACCTGAAGGCTCATCTAGATCCAACCCCTTCATGGGCAGGGACACCTCCCACCAGCCCAGGCTGCTCCAAGCCCCATCCAACCTGCCCTTCAACACCCCCAGGGATGGGGCAGCCACAGCTTCCCTGGGCAACCTGAGGCAGGCTCTCACCAACCTCACAAGGAAGGGAATTTGCTCCTCATGTCCAGCCTCAATCTCCCTCTTCCAGTCTTCATCCATCCCCCCTTGTCCTCTCACTACATGTCCTGGTAAAAAATTACAGGAGACATCCACAAATGAGAGGGGACACCCACAAACAAGAGGCCACAGTCACACGTGAAAGGGGACACCCCCAAATGAAAGGGGACACCCCCAAATGAAAGGAGGCACCCCCAAATGAGAAGGGACACCCACAAGTGTCAGGGGACACCAAGTGACAAAGGCGCTGCCCCCACCTTGCCCTTCCCCACAGGTGTCCTGGAGCTGGAGCTCACCCGCCTGCCCCAGCCAGCCCAGTACCCGAAGCACTGCACCCCAGCCTTACTGGGACCCCAAAAAAAGCCCTGGCCCTGGCGGGGGACACGGGTCCCCTCCCTGGTGTCCCTGTTCCGGCAGCGACACGTGCGGGGCTGGTGGCCCTGCACGCTGGAGGAGGGCGGCAAGCGGCGGCTCTCGGTAGGTGGGGACGGCAGAGGGGACAAGGAGGGGTGGGGGGACACCTCCTGCACCCCCCCCAGGGTGTGGGGGACACCCCTGCACCCCACGGATCCCACCCAGGGGAAGCTGGAGCTGAGCCTGGAGCTGCTGACGGCCAAGGAAGCCGCGGAGCGACCGGTGGGGGAAGGGCGGG